CTAATATTCTTGGATTGTTCCGTTGTACTATTTAAACTTGGATTAATGTTAATTTGGTTATTTATTCTCTGAAGAAGTGGCTTACACTGAGTCACGAAACGTCAGAAAATTCTAAATACCTTGGTTTGCGACGTACTACAGACAATTTAATCCATTTATTTTGATACCTTTTTCTTCTACAATGATAAATCAAGAAGGATTGAGAAAATGTACAACTTCGGGGGAGACATTCATTTTTTAATGGTAATAAATTATCGATCAAGTTCACTGGAAACGATTCTCTGTTAATTGTACAATTAAGGAACTACAAGATGTCACAAAATTGAAGTTGTTCATCAATAATCAGCCAAACATTATTGTCGTCATAGGCAATTTATCAGGAACAACAATGAACACATCATTTAACATCATTTACAAATGTTCACTTGTATTGTGGGGTTTAATAAAAAGTTAATCAAATAGCCATTTAATATTAAAGATTTCTAACATGTATACTGACTTACTTCTATTCCATTCTAAAAATCAAAGTGTTAACTTTTATATAAATTAATTGCCAAAATTTTATGAAATTAATTCATTCACGAGCTTTGGATTATACATCCTTGTATGTTGAAATAAGTTTAAAAATGAAATTAGTTACCACTCACTCTATCACTGATATATTTGAGGGAAAGTGAGTAGATATAATATTGATATGTATGAAACTTATCAATCTCTATTTAGCTGTGAAACTTTGAAACTGAACTTATCGTTACATAAGATATGTTGTTCGTAAGTACAAAATTGATTCCTAGTAAACATTTTTAAACTACTACTCACCATTTGTAAAGGCGATATATGGTAGGAAGAATAAAGAGACACAATTGTACATATACAGGTAGATTTATTATCAAAGCTCTCCTACTTAATATTCATTACTTAATACAAGAGACAAGGCCATAACAAAGTATAGCTTTGTAATAAATCATCAAAATATAAATGGGGAGTATGATTTTTTTCCATAAGTTTAATTAACTTCTATCAATGTATATCTTTATACAGAGTATTCACATGCAGAATGATGAAATGAGAGGCGTGTGAAGTAACTGACTTCAGATAAAATTGTTTTATCTAACTCATCAAATGTTTTTCAAAGTTATTCAGCGTTGATTAGGAATGCGTAAAGTAGTTCAGCAAATTGCATTTCTTCTAATCCTCTCCTCGTACTAATAACATATATAGCTCTTGCAAGCGTTTCAAAGATTGAAAAGTGATTCTTAGTGAGGGTTTGTCATGAAGAAGTTAATTCACAGCGAAAGCAGAAAACATCATAAGATAATATAAAATAAATTAGTATAAGATTGTTTAATATATTGTAAAAGGTGCTTCAAAAACAATCAGTGACAAATTTATTACTGGTTGATACACACTGGAAATCCCATCTATTCTGTACAAAAAAGAAAAACATGGTAATAATACGATACATGACAATACTCCGTACTTCTTTTACACCTTAGGAGATGAAAAGTATAGAATGGAATAAATTTATAAGTAGTATATTGCAACAAAAAATGTGAGTCGAATATATAATTAATAGGTAATCTTTTAGTTCAAATTAACCATATTTAAATAATAAAACTAAAAAATCTTCTACACGCAACAAAATACAGTGAGATGCTTCAAATGCCACGGAACTAAGCGGAAAAAAATATATTGATTAAACCTATAAAAATAATTCAACAACTTACCAATCAAAATGTTTTCCAACAATACAATGCCAATGTGTATGGTGATGAGAGTCAAAGTAAGATTTAATGAAAGATGCAACCTCCCGTTCCTCTGTAAAACGATTCATTGCTTTTTGTAATATCTTCATTGCATCTCTCTTCATTTCATCGCGCATATAACATCTAACAACAGATATCTCTGATAGTTTGACACTGGACATTAGGACTTGGTGAACAGTGTAAGTAATGTTTATTAACAGAGCTCACGTATATATATATATATATATATATATATATATATAATCATCTCATTGGTATAATGTCGTCAGGTCATTGTAGATAGCAAACCAAAAACAAACCAACTAAGAAAATATACGTAGATCAATATTTCTCATCTATTCTATCTCTTCAGAGTGAGAAATGTTCAAGTTTTAAAAAAGTAATTTTAGGTCAAGTGAATTCCTTTAAACAAATTATAAAATTATTTTTAGAGTTATCTTTCGATAACAAAGATGTTCAGTAAGGTATAAAAACAATTAATCATGATTCAATATAACAGTATTTATTCATATTTTCTATTCTTTATACACGATGATCTTAGATTCATATGATTTGTGATTGAATGTCAACGAGGATTCAAAAATTTATCTTCACTTAGAGCTGATAAAAGTGATAAAGTTTTGTAGGTTTCTATTCAACCGGTTATTTGGAGTCGACTAAATCATTCGATTTATTCATGCAAGTCAGTTCATCTCTGCTTGTTCACATAGTGATTATGAGTGGCAGATTTTAGAAACTATAGCCACGAATAAACTTCGTTGAAATCACAGATAAAAAAACTAAAATATGCTAGCATATTTACGATTAGTACTTTAAATCACTTTATTCAAATGAAATGTACATGTATCTAATGTCCAGTGATGTATATCTGACCGTTAAACATTTCTAAACTTTTCAACATTACCAGATTATTTTTCATATTTTAAATTGAAAACAACACACGAACTGTCTGTCTATGACTAGAAAATATCAGTGTTTACTACCCATCGACCACTAGGTGTGATTACTTTACTCATGTGTTAGGCCAGTAGTTATCAGAATAGCCAAGGAGTAAAAGTATTGACCATACCCTTGTTCGAATCTCACGAGATCAATGATTTTCTAAAAATTACAAGTAGGTCTTCATTGCAAATTACCATTAGCCTAAACTTATGTTCTGGCAATAGCCCCGAATCACAATATATAAATTTAATCACTGTACTAACATTTAAGTAGGTGACATGATTTAATTTTAAAAAGTGGCATTGATTTGTGTTCATCTAACGTTTATTAGAGAATTTGCTCATAAACTATATTTCCAACAATAAATGTCTTCAAAATATTATGTTATAAATGTTAAATGTATAAACATAATATAGAAGATTTAAATTACATGAACTGATTTCAGTCCACAGTGCTTCCCCTTCCATTTTATGTAACTATTCGGTATGTAGTGACATCTTGACATAACGTCACTCGATACAAACTATAGAAGATAATACAATGTTATAGGAACTTTCATTCGAATGTCTTCACACTTGAAATATGTTGATGATAACACCATCAAATGTGATAACAAAGATCCTATTAATGAGCTATAAAGACATTTTAATTGAGCTCATCCGGATTTACTGTTCACCTGCGAATATCTCAAACAAAGCAGACTAAGTTTCTTGGACTGGTCAATATTTGCTCTTCAATGGTTTTTGAACGATTTCATTTAGCGCGGAAGTTTATTCAAATGGTATTTTCTGAGGGAATCAGAATATGTCCTGTTGATTCATTTGACAATGAAATGAAAAGTAATTGAAATGTTTCACTGAATAATGGTTATTCTGTAGACTTTTCATCTAAAGTCAATAAGTAGGATTCCACAACTAGCTGCTACACACAGAATAAATTTCTTAGTTATACTTCAGTTCGATGAGTTTTCTCTCTCCCTAATTCCGTTCATGTATAAATTGAATTTGTATGAATGTGGAACATAAATATAAAAGATAATTACGAACAAAGTAAATAGTTGTATACATGTTTATATAAAATCACACATAATACATTTTATTTGTAAAAAGAAACAATTACGTATTTGATAGAATCAGTCAATATACTGAAATGAATTCACTTCTTGTACATTGACTATAGTTCGAATGATCTTTTAATTGAATCTCGTTTTACTAAATCCTAAAATAACGATAGACAATACAAATTATTAACTTATAAATTAATATTACCCCAAATTCACTTCGTATTGTTCACTTGCATCTTCTCATTACAGAAATAGGTAGCTATCAGGACTCAGTGGTCAAGTGAATAACGCGATGGTGTTTGAAGCAAACGGTACTGGGTAATAGTCCAGGAGTGAACTTCAAATCTGAGATGGAGGTATATCCAGCTGACGAGTCTCAAAAAGGATGAAACGCGCGTCCTGGATTCCATTGCTAGCCACTACCCATTTTTGTTTATAAAATATAAGTTTGTTCATTCAGATTGACAAGAGAAAATGACATGAAGAAATTATGAAATGATATATAAATATTTATATCACAAGATCAAGATTTCTCTGAACTTGATAGTTTAGTTATAAAGTTTTCATTTTCAATCTATTTAACATTATTTAGGTATCTATAAAATAACTTATTCTAATTAATCAAACAATGACAATTGGTAAAACTAAGGATTTTGTTAATTAAAGCTGTGAACCATTTATTTTAGTTCCAATTAATCTAGAGACATTAAATCCTGGATTGTTTCATTAGTTATATATTTGCACAATAATGTTCTATATTCATGAGAGTCTCATTTTCAACAAAGTTCGTTTATCAAGTACGTTATGCTTCATTGTATGTGTTATTAGAAACTGTTGTAATGGTACTGGGTTTGAGTTCGTGAGTGAACTTCAACTCTGAGATGGAGGTACATCCAGCTGACGAGTCTTAAATAGTCCGAAACGCATGACTTGGATTTGACTGCTAGCCACAATCCATATTTGCTTATTCTAAAGTTCTTCAACTTTGTTAACATTATTATAAAAATAAGAAAAATAATTTTATTTTTACATATTTTGGAAAAAAATGATTATTCATATCATAGTTACTATTTTCTAAAATTAATTTGATTTTCATAATGAATAATATAGATCCATTTGTAAAATCAGATCATATGACAGACAGATTTTATTCATAAAAAAAAATAAGAACCATCTTGAAAAATCATTTTTCTTATTCTATATAAATTAAAATAATAAACTATGATTGTGAAAAATGTGTGGTTCAATTTAACCGCAAAAAAAGAACAAACAAAGAAAACAAAAAACAACATTGTTCCAATCATAACATTTTACAGGTTTTTTTTTTGTTTTGTTTATAAATTATTTAAACAAATCATTTTTATATATACACACATACACCTTGGAAATTATAATTTTTCATTATTATAATTTAAGAAATCAACAATTTTTTATTAATATAATGAAAGAATATGAAGTGGCTATAATAAATAGTTCAATGCCTACAGATGTAGAAGAATATGCTGCACAAACAGCATCAGAAGCAATTAATATGGATTCTGATTTGAGTAGTATTGCTCATTTTATCAAGAGAAATTTTGATAGAAAATATAAAACTACTTGGCAATGTGTAGTTGGCAAGAATTTTTGTGGGTAAATCATTTTGTTGAATATATTTTATCTTAGTAGTTTAAATAAATTTACACTGTTAACAATCAAGTTAATTACAACTGTTGGTTTGTAATCCATATACTCTAGATCACTTTTTTGTATCACTGTATCAAGAGGTACTTATTTAAAACTTTCCTTAATGTCACAGTTGTCTAAAGAGTTTGATGATGACTATTTTTTATAATCTGGATTTATTAATAGACAACCTTTCAGTTACATAATAATTCAGTTATATGGTACAATGTGTATGTAAACTAGCCCATAACGTTGTATGATTGAATTGTATAACAACAAATTTTGTTGATAACATCCTGTTGGTAGTAATTGTCTTTACCTAAGAACACTAAAAAGTGCATATGAGTTTTCATATTACGTTTTTTAGCTTTTCTCATGATATAACAATTCTGATCAATTTATCACTATCTATAAATTTGTACTATATTTAGAAATGTAAACGCACTAGATACCCGATATCTGATCAAATGAATACGTCCAATATCACAAGGGGGTTTCGTGGAGATTTTAGTAATTTTATATAGTTAAGATCATGAGTCAATTGAAGCTAGACTACCATTGAAAACCTGCTGAGGAGTCCCACAATAGGAAGAAACGGCCGTCAAGCAGTGTTTCCAGGTTTTCCATGATGGTCTAGCTTCAATTGACTCATGATCATAACTATATAAGAATACGTCCAGTGTTGAACCATAATTACTATATGCTAACGTTCATACAAAGATTTCTGGATGATCTGACATTTTAGTTTAACTCTGTATTTAAAAATTGGATGAGACTGCGGTTAAGCAATTTCCTCTTTAAAATACCATAAATCAATTCCAATGAATCTAATAAAACCAGATATACAATTCTCTTATTCGACAAATACCGCTGTTTTTAAAACACTAATGCTTCTAAAGATACTTAATAAACTTTAGATTTTCCATAGAAACTATCAATAACAAAATAAAATTGTATAAAATAATTAACTGTTGCTTTTACCGTTTGATATACTAACAGATTAAAAAAATCATCACATCCTGTGTTATGTCTTAATCTATGCCAAACGATTTGTATAACTAAATTAAATGATATACTTTCTGCTTCAAAGTAATTGTAAATAACTGTTCAAGAATCGGCAGATGGAAGTAGCAAATCCATCTGCAACCAGTATACTAGCTAAACGAAATTTATGTAATGTTCTTCTATAAACGTTTCCAGGGATTTTCAATACTTTCTGGACAAAAGTTAAACATAGTTCTTCCTTTTAGGTTATAAACAAACTTGGATGACGATATGACTCACACTGTTTGATTATAATTCTTAGAAGATTATAGATATTCATCAATAAGCAAATTATTTGATTACGGAATTAAAATTTATATCAAATAAGAGTAACACTGAAGCAATTATTTTATTCTGTATGATTATATGATCTAACGTATCAGTGTTAATTTCTCATATTTTCCGTAGGTCCTTCACTCATGAAACAGGTGATTTCATTCACTTTAAGCTAGAAAATTTAACGTTTTTGCTTTTTCGATCAATCAAACCAAAAACACGAGTACTTCATGCTGATTCGAGTTCGACTCAATGAACCCTTTCAAATCTTGATGCTGCTATTAGAAATTACTAATTTCTGAAATGTTATTACATTGGAAAAATTATAACTACTGTGCAAATTAGTTTTTGTCGGTTTTTTTAATAAAAATTAATTAATTAAATTATGCATAGTTTTCATGTGAATTTCATGATAAAACATTTAGTTTATTTTGTCCTCTTAAAGTGTTCAGATCTTAAATGAAGAGAGTGGATTGAAAAATATATAATGGGCTTACTCAAGTTGACGATTGTGTACTCATTTGGAATTCTCGAAGATTACTAACCTACTTTGTCTATGAATATTTGAATGCACGTGTACCATATTCAAACTATCTTGTCACTAAAATACCTAATCCCCCTGTACTTCACTATAAATCAATGTGAGTCATAATTGTATCTGAGGTTTATTAAGTAAAGCGCTATTCGCCATTCAGCACACACCATTTCATTTCCGTAGACAATGTTATTCATTTAGGATTCGATGGAAAATACTATGATCATTTTTGTGAATTAGATTGATGTAATTATGCTCCTAAACAATTTTTATATCATTTAAATTTATTTTTATTTTTAATTATCAAGATTTAATTTGAAACTTATATACTTCCCATCGTCATCCACTCAGTTTTAGTTAGTTCACTTCTAGTTTTGTGGCAGCCCTATATCTGACTCCAGTTAAATAGTATGCTGATTGTTGGCGAAGTAAACATGCCACCAACCATCGCATATAATTATCGACTTAATCCGCGGTAGGGGGAGTGTTTTGATGCAGTAGTGAGATGGGAAAAAGTTAGGGAAGGCCGGACCAAGAAGTGGAATCAGTCCATGAATTCACTGACAATTGGACTTAGCCATGGTGATATGTATGGACAACTTGGTTGTGGTCCGTATGATTGTCGTAACCAATGGTTAGAAACATTGAATGAAACGGTTCAAAATCGGTTGCACGATGCATCCTTTCCCTGTCTCTCATCAAATTCTGAGCTTTTTGACTCCTCATAACCTTTTTTTGGTTTGATTTCACTAATTCATATTTTGTTTTCGAATCGCATCTCCTATGCCTAGTCTTTTTCATTACTACTGAGACAATAACTACCTTTTACTATTCTGAAATTTGGTCTGACGATTTCGTCTTTCTGTGCTAATGGGCGTACACACGTTAAGAATAATTGACTGACTGAAAATGGATGGAAATTGAATGAAACCTATAAATGATAAGGGAAATTTGGTAGGGAAATTGATAATGAATACAATGATATTGAATGTTGTTAGAAGTATGATGTGAGTTTTCACTTTCCGGTTGTCCATACTGTGGAAGAGCTCTTCTAGAAGTACCTGAAACGAAAATTAGAATAGAGTTGGTCTTAGTGACCTGAAAGCATGACCTCGGTGCCCAAAGGGGCACACAAGGCCTTTTTGTGAGTAATTTTTGTGTTAGCTACGTACTTGTTGGGACATTACCGCTGGAGATGGATATCCGTGGGATAAGGTGAGGTGTGCATTTTTAGGGTTCTAACCTCACCCATCCTTGTGGGAAAGCAGCATTACTAATATGATTGTTGTCTGAGGGAACAACTTACTGTCGTCACATTTCTGTACAGTCAGTAGAACAACTTAGCCCTCAGACCAGATATCAGATATTTCTACAATCTGTCTTTCGTAGAACAAATTTCAACAAAAAATACAAGTTCTGTACGACTTTTCACTTGTATACTCTTATCCTAGATATCAATAACTTTTGTGTTCCAGAATATAAAATATTTTACCGACCACCCCTAGAATACACCAACTTTATTCTTACTAGTATTCTTATTAGTGACAGAATTAGTTCGAAACTTGTTTAACAGTGCTTTACAATCCGTTTCCCTTTGAATCATTGTACTTAAAATCACAAATATAAATTCATTTAGCAAAGACTTCATGCTATATAGAAGCTAAAACTTAAAATAAATCTAATCTGTTTCTTTAAGATGCTTAATAAACCATTTTTAATTGACTGATTCAATTGAATACAAAGTAACACATAGTTATAGCATTCGTAATCGAATACAGAAAGTGAAGATCTTTTATTCTAAATACTCTATCAATATGAATCTGCTTAAAAATAAATGTTAAAGATCGCTGAATTGTTTGTCGCAATCTGTCTGTGAGATAAAATCACTATCATCATTTGTTCAATAATTGACACTGATTTAATAGAGCTTACATTTGTGACTGTGTCTTATTCCACCAGGGAAATTATTGGAATGTCAAATGCTTGATCACTGTTATTATTTTGCAAACTTATCAAAGTTTTTTCTGTAGATATTTTACGCTCACACTTTCCTTCATTAACTCGATCAATATAAATATTATCCATACAAATCCGTAGGTCGTTGAACAAACTAGAACGGTTGTTGTTCTGTGCTCCTTGCTTCCGTTTTGTTTTTTCTAGTTCCAGATGACTATAATTACGCTATAATAACACTGAAAATGCCGCTCAATAAACTGTTCACAATTTGACAGGATGTCCTTGTTGACTGACTCCTAAATGTTGCTTCACTTTGTTGTATTCTGCGTAACAAATGTTCTCTCAAAATAATTTATGAAACATATCATTTCAGACAATCAGACATGGTATATCACTGCTTTACATATAACACCGCTTTTTATATCAACCTGATCATGAAAATTGGCATGTATTTTGTTACTAATTCCCGAATATAATTTCAATCTAACATAAAACGCTCTGCCTCATACCTAGAAAGTTTTGTTCACTAAATTAGCTGAAAGAGAAGTGTGTAAAAGTAAAGACTTGTCTTCGACAAAATAGTTAGTATCATTTGTTTATTTATTTATCGATAAATATAGCAGTCATTGCCAATTAAAAGAAACCGATGAAACTAAGGGGAAACACATATCAATCATACTAGTCTTCATAAATGATTAAGTTACTCATTAAATCAATCCGAGACAGAAGATAGCCATATATTTTACAATTTGTACAACTAAAAAATATCAATGTCAATAACATTATTCTCAATAACTCAAACCAAAGCAGACAAGAACACAGCCTATATCATCAACTGCATTTTACACTATACATTCAAGTGAATATAAATATTTGAAAAATTCCCATATTGTGATTTAGAACAACATAAACAAGCGAACAATATTGTTTTCGATTAGATCCTCATCGGGCTTTACTCATATATACAGTAATATTTATATGCGTGGGGATCCGATTGCATTTAAGGTACTCAATGAGTTCCTAAAGTTTAATGCTCGTCTCACAGAAGCAAAAACATCGTTAGAGTTTAATAATGATTTTATACAAACTGATAGATATCCTAAAACATATTGAAAATCATTGCGCTGGAATAAAATTTATCCTAATTCTAGAACCCTTAAACAGATTCATTAAAAATGCACATAAACAATCTGGAAAATAATATTACACGGAGAGAATCTACGGTCGATAACCTACCACAATTTATGGATTATATTATCATGGTAGCGGAAAGTAGACCATGGGAATTAGGTACAAAACTAATTCAGTCACTGGAACATCATAAACCTGAAAGAAAATTCCCTATGAACCCTGAGCGGTACGTTCATAACTTTTCTAGTGTTACGTTAGACATAGTACAGTTATAGGCTTTGTCGCTCGGCCCTAGGTTTCGTAACTATGAGAATAAAATAAATCAACTTGATACAGATGTATAGTTTGAAAATTTAATTAAACAAACAACAGATTTGGTCCCTGTTTCTATCGATGAACTTACTAGATTTAAGACCACATCGGTGGACATCTGCCAGCAATATAAAAATAGTTAATATAATGTAAAAAAGTCCACTTACCAAACAACATCGAGATGCTTTACATTTACTTAGAAAAGATAACACTCTAATCATAAGCAAGCCGGACAAAGGAGGAGGTTTAGTTCTAATGGACAAAGTCGATTACATCGATAAAATGAACTCAATTTTGAATGACACGACTAAATTTCAAAAACTCAACGACATGAAAGACATAAATATAAAAACAGAGAAACTGATGAATAATTCACTTAAGGAATTGAAAAATAGAGGAATACTTACTCCGACTATACACGATTCACATAAACCCATTGCATTGAACAAACCGTGACTCTATGGTCTACCCAAAGTTCCTTAGACAGGTCTTCCTCTTCGTTCAATTTTAGATAATTATAATTCACCTTACCATAAAACTGCAAAGTGGCTAGTTGGGATCCTAGATCCTTTACACAAACTAATCATCAACAGAAGCGCAAAAAACGATTTGGTTTCGAAAGTTGAACATATGAACTCAAATGGGAGATGGATGATACCTCTAGATGTTGCTTCCCTGTTCACCAATGTACCATTAACTTAGGCTATTGACTTTGTGTGCCAATAAGTACTTGAAAAACAAATCAATAATGGAATTTCCGAGGTTGGCCTTAAAGAATTACTTCCGAAATATACAATGAATGTCCATTTTTTCTTTAATAACACGTATTATAGACAAGTTGATGGTATAGCGATGGGTTCACCTCTAGGTTCTATCCTTGTTGATTTTTTTCTTGCCCAACCAGAAAATGGACCTCACAAAGATGTTATCGATAAGCTTGACTTCTATTGTTGGTACGTTGATGATACTTTCATTATTGTCGATCAGGAAATTGGAAAAGAAGAACTATTAGAACTATTTAACAACAAACACCCAGCAATCAAATTTACATGCGAAAGGGAACTAGATAATAAACTAAATTTCCTTAACGTTTTGTCAAACAAAAAAGTAAACGGTTCTATCAGTAGAAGTGTGTATGGGAAAAGTTCTTCATCAAGCCAGTACACACGCTTCTTGAGCTTTGTAACCCAAGCACCGTAAGAGAAACTTAGTCAAATGTCTGGCAAATAGAACTAGAAAGATATGCTTGGTCGATACAATTAACAAGGAGTTAGAGCTCATACATAATATGCTGATTGAGAGGGGTTATCCACAAGGTTTTCTGAAGAAACACTTGCGTGTAGCAAACAAGAAAATAGCGATATCAACAGCTAGTCAGAAACCTCTCTTCCTGAAACTGCAATTCAACGGAGATGTAGCTGGTGATGTAATACGTGATAGACTGACTAGAGCAGTGGAGAGAACATTAAATGCAGCCGACCTCTGTCTATCGTACTCTACCCGATCTATGATGATTCCTCAACTAAAGGACAAGTCACCTGGTTATATCACTTTTATGTGTATCTACGAATTAAGCTGCTCCTATGGAAAAAACTATATTAGGCGCACTACCAGACAACTGAACCAAAGAGTCAGTAAACACCTCCCTTCGTGGTTGGGAAAAGGTATTGTCAAGGCAATATGTAGCTCGGTTCTTTCACACTTGATCGATAGCGGTTATATAGATGACAGAAATAAGTCATTTAAAGTTATTTATTGTATTCCTACTAGTTTACCACATAAGGTTCGATCTCGTTTCTGACACATAACAGAAGCTATAGGAATTCAAGCCAATAATCCAAGCCTTTGTGTTCATAAGAAATTTGTAACACCCTTATCTCTCCTTGGCCTTAATAAGTGATTTCATTTTTCATACTCTTTCTTCATTTATTTTTCTTCACCCCCTCCCACCCATATTTTTTTCTCAAATATATGTTCCGCAGTCCAACTATCTCAACATTTCTTATTGCGTAATCTTGTAATTTCTATTACTGTTATTTCAGTGTTTATATTTTTCTAATCATTGACCTATTTCCCATTATGTAACATTGATTCAGGCCTTTATTATTCTTATCACAACTAGTACACCTGTCATCACACTACCAATTTGTACTTTTCACTTATTACTATGTTTAATTATGTAATCTATCCCACTGTTATCAATGACTCATAATCTGCTCTGATTGGTTTAATAATTTCGTATATGCATATAAATATTACTGTATATAAGAGTAAAGCCTGATGAGGATCTAATCGAAAACAATATTGTTCGCTTATATATGTTGTTCTGAATAAAAATATATCAGAAAGACAGAAAGGCTGTTACTTATTTATTGAGCATATTTATAAGAATCTATCTTTTAAAGAGGAAAACATTCTTCATAGTGGATACAAAATCTGCATTCGAAACAATCAATAATGAACATGGTTAATTCGTAGAGATCATGACAAACAAAGATTAAAATGTGACGACCTCAAAACGAGTTTGTGTTTAACTTTCAACCGTCTTGGTGCCAAAAACGAACAATGTTGAAAAGTCCGTTCTAATCTTCTCAGAAATCATGTCTACTATTCAATAATTTCAACCTGTACCTTTCCATATTCTTCATGAATCTTTTGCCATATTATACGACAGTATTCTATCCCATTATAATTACTGATTAAGGCTTTCCTTGAAATGTTGTATTCATTGTAGTGTTTACCTCTTAATAATTTTACAGATCACTGGTGGTAACTCACTCCTTGAAAACTTTGATGTTGATTTTTGGAAGAAGTATGCTTAATAGCCTATATGAAGTTGAGGTGAAAGTATAAAATACAATGGATTCATGTATTTTGTAAATTTTATCATCTTTCCTCTGTTTGAATACAGTTTTTATTGACCAATAAAGTAGCATACAAAATTCCTAAATTATGAAAGGAATATTTTAATCCAAGACTATTAATGTGTTTATATACATCTTACCGTTCTTGAATACTATCAATTCACTAGTTAAAATAAATCATCTTTCCAATGTATGCTGAATCTTAAAACCAATCCACTTGAAGTTCTTTAATTTGAACCATTGGAACTTTAACATTTTGATCAAATTTAAGCATCTTACTATAGGTTCTGGGTTCGAATCCCTCCAGGCGGGATCGTGAATGCGCACTGCTGAGGAGTCCCACAATAGGACGAAACGGCCGTCAAGCAGTGTTTCCAGGTTTTCCATGGTGGTCTAGCTTCAACTGACTCATGATCTCAACTTTATAAAAAAAATTACTAAAAAACCACTTCTGATAACATCTTACTATTAGTTTTAAAAAAGATTAGGTTTATTGTGTGAAGCAACTGTATTTAAACATAACTAAGATAAAATAACTCATTTCTCTAGATGACTGCCTACCTAGTTGTCTACATTTTCATAAGAAATGATTAAAGTTAAATTACCTAGTTACAACCAATGAATGAGTTTTCAATATAGATTTTTGTATCCATTCATTGATAGGTAATATTTTCCATCATTCAGAAACTAATTTATAATTAGATATACATCATATTTGATGATGATACATCTTCTAAAAAAAACTACATATGAATTTTGATATTATTTTGTTCTTTAACAGTCTTACCCTTTATATCACTAACTTCAAATAACTTTACATAACCGGTGAAAAATGATTTAACAATATGACATACTTTATACATAATTAAGTGTAATAGTTTTGTCAAGGAATGTTTTTGATGATGAATAAAGATGATTTTCATTAAAAAAATGATTTATATAGTTGTATCGAATGATAAATGATGAATTCACTAACGTCAAATAATTGATTTATAGAAGAAACAACTAACGACATTTTTGCATAATTCTAATACTGATCTTAGATTTTACCTCCATATATATTGTCTTATTTGAAGGTCATGTCTTTGATAAATCAATAAATATTAGTTGTGCTAATCTTTCTTGATTCTGCTTTGCACCATGAGTAATAAAATATGTTCCGATTGTAAAGTATAGACAGCAAGAAAACGAACATAATAAAGACGACACGAATATAATACTAAAATAAAGTGATATTTGAAGATATTCTAACTAAATACTAGAAGTAAAATAACTACAATTATCTACTCTGTAAGCGAAGATGGATAGTGGCTGGCAGTGGAATCCAGGACGCAAGTTTGGGACTCGTCAGCTGGATGTACCTGCATCTCAGAGTTGATGTTCACTCTGGGACTGGAACCCAGTACCTTTCGCTTCAATCGCCATCGCGTTATCTACTTAGCTACTGAGTCCTGATAGCCACTTGCAAAAGGTACTGCGTTCGAGTGCCAGAATGAACATCAACTCTGAGATGCAGGTACATCCAGCCGACGAGTCCCAAATAGAACGAAACGCGCATCCTGGATTCCACTACTAGCCATTATCCATCATTGCTTACAATGCTTGTGAACTAAGGCTATATTGAGGCAACACGCACAGTATGCACATATGCCAATTAGAGACTGATCAGTTGCAGTCCTAAACATCAATGGGAAGATTCAGACAAACAATACTAAGTGAACTTATTCACCAACTCTGTTTTTTATCATGTTATTATTAGCTGCTATATGATAAGTTACATAACTTGACTTAAGTAAAATGACTTGTGTTGCAGTTATTATGGTCATAATCAAATTGACGGAGTTTTATTACGATCAACAAAACTTTATGAAATGAAAAAAAAATCAAATCATTAAGATGTAAACCAGGTAGTGACTTATTAAGGCGCTGTCATCAAAATGAAACAATAAATCACAATATACAATTCTTGACTAAACTTAATGAAAGTCGATAGACTTATCTGTCATTTAAAAAATTAGTTTCTTTTAGAAAATTAAATTGTAAATCCATTGCTCTGGTATATTTGAATTGTAGTTAACAATATAAAATAAGATATTGTCACGGATATTAAATCAAAGTGAATAGATATCATTAGAGACTGATCAGTTGCTACCTTTAATGTAAACAACGAAGAATTCAAACTGCTAAACTTAGAAAAAACGATTATAGTTTATTAGCTAATCCTATGATACGTTTGAATTGATTCAATTAAAAATCTAAACAAAAAGTGAATTGTTTATCAAATAACCATTATTTATTTAAAAGACATTAAAATGCGTTTTTGATAGAGGTTTTACAGATAACGATTGGCTTGAATATATCCGTAGTAACTTCTGGATTACATAAGTTATAATCCAACAGGCAGCATTGTAGTGAACAGGAGCACGACTGGAGACCGTCGAATGTATTTCAGTACAGCATTACAGAATATGAGAACCATATAGTGAATAGTTAATTTACAAAATAACAATCAATTGTCTCAATTTGATTGTTTCTTCAGCAAATATCCCTCCATAGTCTCCGATTATAACTGTTCATGCATTTTTGTACCAATTGCATGCCGTTCCCGTTCTGTCGTTATCGGTTTTCTACTGAAATACATTCAATGCCCGACAATCACCATATACTACTTATGTGAATATAAGTAGACCACACCACATCATCAGTTACTTCATGATAGCAGATACATCTTGATGATACTGTTCATTGACACAAAAACCCAAGTGAAAGAATTCCATCGGACTACCTCCAACCACTTAAAATTACAACCAAAATTCTAGAATATCTGTTGAATAAAGAAAAAAGCGTGATAATTCACTAAATTTATCATTACAGTATAATTATATCAATGTATTAATTAGGAATTATTTAAACTAAAATTAATTAAAGCTTAAATTTTAATTAAATAAGTCACTGGAGTAGTAATAAATGAAAATCAATTCTGTATACAACATATACTTAGTATAATGTTTCTTAAGAATGGGCAGTTATTTACAAGAGTCTAAAATAAAGCGGACATAATATCATTACGTGTAAGATTTTAAATGGTACATTTCAAAGTCAACAGATCATTGCTTTTAAAAACTTTTAAGAATATAATTGAACACAATGAAATTATAATTGAAAACAAGAAAAAACATAGATGACCTCTAGTAGAAGAATATTGTTTCTATATACAATTAAAGATGTATAGTTAATCAATAGCGTCTTATCTCTGGTAATACATAGTTTTAAATGAGTCAATAACATACAGTCTTATAAATCTCTGTTTTCTTAATAAGTCCATATATATTCATATACGACTTATTTTTTTTAAAAAAAAAAATACTTAATCTTTTATAATGATCGGAATAAAACAATCGGATGTTTTAATCATAAAATGTAATATGCAAAATGAAATGCAATATTATGTTAAAACACTTGTACATAAAGCTTTAAAACGATTTGAAGATGAAAGAGAAATTGCTACTTATATAAAACTTAAATTTGATTTACATTATCATAATTATTGGCAATGTATTGTTGGAAAACATTTTGATTGGTAAGTTAATCTAATAATCTAATATTATTATATTCTTATAGTTCATTAGAATTTGAACTATCACAATACATTCTTATACGTGCAATGGATACATTTATTCTATTATTTAAATAATAATTGAATCAATCTATAAAATACAAAGTATTGATATTTTAATCAAATACACTTACATTTGTACCCTTTGAAAATCATTTTACTGTGAGAAATTTTCTTTTCAAGTTACTAAGTCTTTGTACTTTATAATTCCTGTCACATGTTGTTTTATTGATTTCGTTGTAAATTTGTAACAGTCTGCTTTGCAAATTGATTGAAAATACATTATCTGTTATATCTTACATATGTTGTTTTAAAAAGAGAAAGAATAAAGATTTTAACAAAATAGTATTCAATCATTTCATTTTGTTTGGTTCTCGTCAGCTGTTTACAACTTGTGATATTTAAATCATTATTATGTAATGAGTTTTCAATTATTTACATGAAAGAGTTATGTTGAGAACACATTGGTACAGTATAGTAAGGGTGTAAATAAACTTAATAAACTGAATATTGTAAATTATACCTTATGTAGAAGAATATTCTACAACACTGGTTATAACATAAGTTCAAACGGTCAGAAACAAGTGATTACAAAATGAGTAAACGTTGATAAGATTAAAATGAGTAAGGCTCAGTTAATAAAATAAAATTACTAATCTGGAACATAGTTGAAATACAAAACTCAATGATGGAGTAAATTCAAGAAAGAGTTTTTTGGTAAATGTTTTTAGATGCAACGAAGGAATATTTATCACTAATGCAAGGAAAGATTAATAACCATCTCCTTTTGAACACATGAATCAGGTTTTTAACGCCTGATAGCAACGGCTTAAGCAAAACTTCAGAAGACTGGAGTTTAGCAATTTATTAATCACCTTGAAAGATTGCAACGTATCGACCTGATGTCGTGTATCCGTGAGATGTTTGATATTTTCACTGTTTAAAGTCATTCTTCCTCTTGTTCTAAGGCTTTTCGGAACATGCTTTAAAAATCTAAGATATGGCCTGGTTTCTTTTTGGCCGATGTAGCTGCTTTGACAGGTACACGTAATTTTATAAACCCAGTTGGCGGTAATATGAAAGAGGCGTTTATCAACCTGTGAGTGGGTCATTGAACATAATGCTTTATAAAGAATTAATAGTTTGGCTGCTGGGTCATTTTGTAAAGATAGCATTTGTATACAAATTTAAGTACCGAACATGGTATATTTGAACACATCTTACTATTTGATAGTTTAAACATTTATATGATTTATCTCAAAGAAAGTCTTTAGTTGAATTTTTAAAGTTTTAAGCAAATTAAAAGTCACTTGAATAATTATTATTCTGCATTAAAATCCATTCTCCATTTCTAAAAGCAGCTATGGTTCTGGAGTTGTAATGTTTTCTGCATACACAGCTATCGACTTTTGTAGTATAGCATTTATGCAAAACTAATTATTGATGGATGACCTCTAACAGTAAAAATTTGTAAATTAAGATTCTTCAAATTTCCGGTTGGTTTAACGTTGTGATCATACAAAATTGTTGTATGACTTGTGATTAATTCATAGTGTTTCAAAAAAACAAAATAAGTTACTGCCTACTGACAAATTATTTAGTAGACACCTTTTGTATTTGAAATTAGGTGGAACATTCAGATATCTGTTAATAATCGTCAGCAAGTTTGCATTACTCGTCAAATTCCTATAGCTTATTAATATTCTTACTGGTAGAACCTTGATTACGCTTCATCAGAAATTAATTCAATAGTTCTTTTTACATTGTGACACTTTCGAAATGTAATCAACCATTATCTGGACCTCATAAACTCAAAACTGACTGTTGTTCTAGTAGATTATGTTATGTCTTTATCTTATACGATAACCGCTAAAATACGATTGCCAAATTTGGATACGCAAACTTATACGACCAACAAATGAGGCATACATCTAAGCGAACGGCCTAGAGTCTCGATTGGTCCTTTTCCCACCTGGTCCTGGCTGTTAAGTCCAGAACACCATTCTCAGACTCCATGTTATGAATCATATATTTCAAATATACTTGGTTTATATACCAGCCAATTAGACCACATCACACCATAAATAGAAAATAACAATTGTACAACATCAAGCCAAAAGTGGCTGTGATTGTGGGAGACTGTAATTAATAAACTGAACCAAACTTAAGAGTAGTAAATCGTATAATAATAATCTATAGGTCAAAATGAAGCTTTTAATAAGAGGAATATGAATATACATAGTTTAGTTACCTAATAATTATACAATAAAATAGAATAGAATAAATCCAATAAATAGAATAAATCCATAAATAGATCCTAACAGTTACCGTTCATTATTCTCTTTAAGATGTAACAGATACCATGATATTTGAGGCCAAAGTAATGATCTTACAAGTCAGAAGTAAATATCATACTACTTAATATGAACACTGTAAGGGTTTGTTAGCAAACCTAATTTTTTCAAATTTATATATAATTTATATTTTAAACATTAATTCAAATTTTGCCATTTAAATTATAGTTATTATGCGAAGAAATACAGGTAAACAGAGCCATCCAAAATACAGTTATAATTACTACGCAAAAAATGTGTAAAATGATAAAGTCAATCAACGATTAAGAAAAGCAATAGTAATAGTTCAAGGCAATTAGAAAAGTTTGGGAGTGAATGGATATTAGCATTGCTAAGATATTAGAGGGTCAAAAGTTTCCTGACGTAATTAAACAAATATTGTGTTTGATTTTGATAATGAAAATACAAGGAATATAAAGTGCGGGCGAACTGAACAATAAAGGAATTAGTTTTCGTGGTGCTTTCTTCTCTGAACTGAATGCTTTGGTCGTGGAGCTTTCATCATTCTCCTGAAAAGGAACATCAGCACAAATTTCAAGTTGAAGTGAAGTGTTCGAATTTCTTCACATATGACTCATAGTTTGTCCTTCCAACCTCGATCTTGAGTTGTTATTGTCAACTTTTAATCTGTCATTGTTTACTTCCTTATTTTGATTGCATCGAGTGAATCGATTTGTGCTAAACAACATATTTCCACTTCAACATCAAAATCTACCAACAAAAAAAAGAACATCGTTGAGATCACCAATATCAGGACTTATTGCAGAAGCAGTGATTCAGAGACTGGAAGACACAGTCTTACCAACAAACAAACCAAAATTTTAAGTTCTTTATGTGGGCGGCACATTCCTCATCGTCACAAAGGGCGATCGGGAAAACACCCACAATATGATCAACAATGTCTTCGAAGATATAAAGTTCACAATGGAGCATGAGTCGAACGACAAACTGTCATTCTTCAATTTATCAATCACCAGAATCAACACAGGAAGACTGGAGACTTAAATACAACAGAAGACAACGCGGCTGGTGAGATTGTTTTAAAGAACAAAGCGCCACAAAAATCATCTACATTTGATATAGATTTTCTCCACTATCTCAAGTATTAATTTAGTGATTCGAAAGTCAGTTAAACAATAGAGTAGGCTTATAAATGGTGTAGGTGGTAGTTGAAAAAGGGTAAAATATTGAAATGAACATAGTTTATTTGAAATTTATCAAACTAATGCAAGCTCTAAGCGCTAGAGCTGAGGCAGCACTAATCGATTGGATCCCCATTAACAGTCGGTTATGTGCTGTTAGATTAGAAAGTTCCATCAAAGTGAGAAGAAATCGGCGTGAGAAACGGTGACTTTTCGTCATCTCCGCCTATGCCCCGACAGATTGCAGCCCGGATGCAATCAAGGATGAGTTTTACCATCAGTTAACAGTTCTTCTCCACAAAGCGCGTTCGACAGATATTGTAGTACTAGCCGGAGACTTGAATGCACAGGTCGGGTGTCTAGGCACAGAAGAGAGTCGATTAGGTGGCCGATGGGGACTTGTTGGTCGCAGGACAAAAAACGCGGACCGTTTGCTGCAACTGTGCACAGACCACAACCTGTTTCTGGCCAGCACAGTCATCGCCGGTGTGCCAACTGGCATACTCCCTCTGCATCTCAAGCCTGGACTCAGATTGATCACATCGCGATCAGCTACCGCTGGCGTGGTTGTGTACAAGACTGCCTCTCCTTTTGGAGTATCTATCTGGACTCTGATCATGCCCTGGTCTGGGCCAATCTCACCTTACTTTTCAGTGGTCGAAGGATTGACCGCCATCAACAGATTGATGTTAGTAAATTGGTTGCAAGTAAGTATCGAACTGAGCTAGCTTCTAGGCTAGCTACTATCCCACCGAAAAGTATAGATGAGCATTGGTTGCAACTGCATGACGCCATGAAAATGGCGAGTAAAGCCGCTTGCGGCTTCGCGAAACGTCCCGCTTATAAGCACTGGGTTTCTTCTGGCTCCTTACAACTGATCGAATCCGTCGGTCTACTCTGGGTGGCCGTGATTATGACCAAAAACGAAGGCTATTATGCGACGAAATTGGGCAAAGCTTGCGTGAGGACCAAGAGGCCTGGTGGTCAGAGCGTGCTAATGAGATGGAAGCAGCAGCTGCATCTGGTAACTGCCGGAAGCTCTTCCAACTCATCCGAGCCACTGGCAGCAAGAAGTCTGGTGTGAGTGAAACAATCTGTGAGGATGACGGGATGCCAATCACTTACATCTGTCGACATCTTGGACGATGGGCGGAATTTTTTGAAGGGCAGTTCAACTGGCCTGCTGCTCCGGCAACATCGACCAGATTGTCCTGCCCCCCATGACCGGTGACGACTGATCCACTAAATGAGGCGGTAGTCCGCAAGGAACTCCAACTATTGAAACGCTACAAATCGCCAGGCCCAGATGACTTACCTCCAGCTCTTTTTAAAGATGGTGGTGACTTTCTGGCTAAGGAATTGGCTGTGTTGTTTACAAAGGTTTGGGAGCAAGAAAGTGTTCCAACATCATGGAATGAGTCGATAGTTGTCCCTATCTTTAAAAAGGATTCACGTTGTTCCTGTAACAACTATCGGGGGTTGAGTCTACTTCTGATTGCGTCCAAACTATTGGCTTCTGTCATTCTTCGTAGACTGTTTAAAACCCGAGAACGATTGATTCGCGAGGAGCAGGCTGCTTTTCGTTTTGGTCGGGGATGCATTGGTCATATCTTTACCCTCCGCCAAATGTTAGAACACCGTCAAACTTATCACAGGCCAACAATCGTAGTGTTTCTTCATATCAGGGCTGCCTTCGATTCGTTGGACAGGACTGTTCTCTGGGATTGTCTATTGAAGAAGGGTGTGCCTGAGAAGTTCATTAACATCTTAAAGGCCCTGTATACGAACACCTCAGGCAGAGTGAGGGCATACAACCACCTTTCTCCCTTGTTCCATTCAAGCTGTGGGGTTAGGCAGGGTTGCCCAATCTCATCATTCCTCTTCAACTTCTGGTCACAGCTCTGGTGAACGTAAGTAATGGCGGTGTGGATCTGGTGCCTGGAGAAAGACTTTTCGACCTTGAGTATGCAGATGATATTGCCTTGCTGCGCGATAATGCCCAGGCCATCCGCATTTAATCAGTTGTCAATTAATATCTATAGGTATGTTGCGTGCTTTAAACCTTCAAAGTGAAAAGTACTTTTACATGACTAGCAGAACCCTGACCCTGAACTCACACTAGTTGGTGAGCAAATAGTAATTGTGAAGTTCGTTTATCTATGTAGCTGAATAAGTGTTAGTGGTGGCGTGAGTGATGAGATCAATTCATGTATAGTGAAAGTCAGAGTGGCTTATGCTAATCTAGGTCATCTTTGGCGCCTTCGTGATGTTAGTCTGGCTGTAAAATGTCGGATTTACAACGCGTCGGTGAGAGCAGGTTTGCTCTATGCTTTCGAAACCTGGCCTCCCCGAATTGAGGATGTTGGACGTCCCTCTGTGTTCAATCATCGTTGTCTCCGAAGCACTGCTGACATCCAGTGGTAACACCATGTTAGTAATGCAGAGGTTCGGCATCTTGTATTCGGGTGCAGAGACGATAATTCAATTGGTGTCACCATCTTGAAACACTGACTTCGGTGGCTTGGACATGTTCTACGAATGTCGTCCCAGAGAATTCCACGTCGTGCATTATTTGCCGACTCTGGGACTGGTTGGAAAAAGTGGAGAGGTGGTCAGTGTATGACATGGTGTTGTGGTATGAAAGAAAGCTGCAAAGGACTGGCTTCTGTCGGTCCTTTACGACTCACTGGCTGGGGTCCAAGAGATGGTGCTTCACAGTGGCTAGAGACATTATCAGATAAATTCAGAATAGAAGCTAATTGCGATCCTGCTGTAACCTTCTTTTACTTTCTGCATAAAGAGAGAGTTCTTCTGGTTGTACATTCCACTTCCCCTCGTCATTAATTTTTTATGCATCTTACCCCTTTCTCTTCCCATTTTCATTGCTTTGTGTGACGCATATATATCTGTTGTCCCCTTGTACCAATATTTATGTGTTTAAATAAAATAATAAAATAAAAAATAAATGCCAGAAGGAACACAGTTTCCCTTTAGTAACATCAGTTTGAAAAGAGACAATAAAATATCTCTTCCATAACACAATTATTTATTTTCCTCAATAATGTATTTGGATCTACTTAATGGAACATAAATTACAAATTTCTGAGGCTATATTTAACGATGACAAAAATGGTTTATGATGTAATTTTCGATATATCGGTCACCCATATTACTACATTTGTGTACTTGGAACATATTATTAGTGTAATGTTTATTCTTTATAAACTTTGATAAATAGTAGTTCGCTTGTTTCACTGGACTGAAGTAGCTTTGTATGTGAACCACATAAACTAGATCGATTATAATTCTGTCCTTAACATATTTTTCTCGTGGTATGACCTCAAATGTGCATAAGATTAGGGTTAGAATAGAAAATGTTTCTCTTAGTATTGACAAAGTACACAATAGGTATTGAGTTTAAAACATTTATCTTTATATGCAATGCAATACAATATTATGTGAATAAACTTGTTAATTAAATGTTGGTAGCTTCGTGAACGTACTCGATCATAACTTTTTCTACTAATATTAAATTATACAGTTTGAACTGGAATATGTTTATTTACATTCTTTGGTAAACTGAGCGGACAACAAAAAACTGTTTCGCTCTTGTCTGGGACAACTAACTATATAATCCAAGGACCAGTGATATCTATTACCCGAAAGCATATCGTCAGAGAAAAAGATATCTCATAAATATCCTTTGATAAACTGTTTGAGATGCCCAATAAGCTAATGTTTTATTTTTGTATGAATCGGTTTAATTGTAGTTACTAATCTCCAAGATATAGATTACCATATTGTTACTCAACTACTTAAAACTAAATCATTCTTATAGAAATTTGTAGGTTTCTATTTCAATACCATGTAAGATTGTAAATTCTTACTGATGAGAAATTTTAGAAAGGTTTCAATTTTACTCCAAAATGATATTGTTCACTGACAGGAATACATCTTCACTAATCACTCATTTATACAGTAAATGAATTTCAGTTGTCAGTAAACTAGATTTTCTGAATTGCTATAAAAAATTTATAGCACCCTTTTTTCTCTCATTGTAATCCATGTTATTCAAAGAAAGTAACAGATTCCTGGCTGTCATTAAGGCTTAGTTGTATAGTAATTAGTTCAATTTTTGAAATTTGAAATGTTTCACATCAGTATCATGTGGTTAATATTCCTACAGTTACTACCATCATTATTATTACTGTTAAAACTATAATTATCATTTTTCTTTATATTATGCAATAATACCAGTAGTGCTATTCATTGTTTTATTGTATTATCGTGAGATTATATTAGTGCATGTTAAATATTATTTGTTATATTTGAAGGTTTTAGTTTTGAGTGGAATACTGTACTCATTCTGTACTAATGACATAATTAACATCATCCTTAGTAACAATTTATTTTTAAGATTAGATATTTTACACCAATGATAACTTGAGATTCATTGACTCAAAGTATAAATACAGCATAGTATTTTATCGTTATAAAACAATACATATCACAGTATTAAGACGATAATGTCAGAACGAAAGGCTGTTATTAAAAATGCTGATATGGAGAGAACTGTACAAGATGATGCAGTGTATGTAGCATCAGCTGCGCTGGATAAATATGATATTGAAAAAGATGTTGCTGCTTATATTAAAAAAGAGTTCGATCGTAAATACACTCCAAATTGGCATTGTGTAGTTGGAAAACATTTTGGAAGGTAAGTTTAAACTGTTCTATATGCTTACTTATTAGTTTAAACACTGTTTGGATGTCCATTTTCATTTTTATGCTGAATGTAATAAATTCCGTGCAATATTCATACATTTAATAGATGGTTTTTAAAATAGAGTGATGTGTTCACAAGAAATTAATATTATCATTTTGATAAGCTCATGTAACAAACAATTGTATTTTGTATAAAATGACTTTTAAAACCTTTAAGAGGCTACTGCCATATTAATACAAAATGTGTATTATGAAGTTTGCCAAAATTCTTTATCAACGGTTAGTTCAGTATCTGAGATCAGCAGTTACATAAACACAACAGGCCTTCAGATTCATTTTGAAAGTCTTTTTTGATGGGAATCTTATTCATATGTATAAAACTGAACAGAAAAGCTATGATCATAAGCAGAAACAGGGGAAGAAAGAATCTTAGATAACATTTCTAATCAGGGGAACAAATACTTCATTAGTTTCTAATTCCATATTCAATAAAGCATAACGTACTTGATAAAAGAACTTTGTTAAGAATGAGACTCTCACGAATGTGGAACATTAATGTGCAAATATATGACTAATGAAGCAATGTCAGATTTATTGTCTCTAGGATAATTGGAACTAAAATAAATGGTTCATAGTTTTAATTAACAAAATCCTTAGTTTTACCAATTGTCATTGTTTGATTAATTAGAATAAGTTATTTTATAGATACCTAAATAATGTTAAATAGATTGAAAATGAAAACTTTATAACTAAACTATCAAGTTCAGAGAAATCTTGATCTTGTGGTATAAATATTCTATATTATCTCATAATTTACTTCTTGTCATTTTCTCTTGTCAATCTGAATGAACAAACTTATATTTTTATAAGCATATTTGGATTGTGGCTAGCAGTGGAATCCAGGATGCGCGTTTCGTTCTATTCGCGACTCGTCAGCTGGATGTATTTGCATCTTAGAGTTGATGTTCACTCTGGAACTCGAGCCAGTACCGTTCGCTTTAAACGCCGTCACATTATCCACTTATCTACTGAGTCCTGTTAACACCTGCTCGTGCAATGGGGTGAAATTTAAATTCACTTAGTGTTGTTTACTTGTATCTTCCCATTGTTATCTAGGACTGCAATTGATCAGTCTCTTGTTGACATATGTACATCCTGTGAGGACTGCCTCTATACTGCCTGAAGTCACAAGCTGTTTAAGCAAAGATGGATGCATATATATATATATACCATATATATATATATATATATATATATATATATATATATATATATATATATATATATATATATATATATATATAGAATTACGATCTGTTAGATTTCATTGCATTTTAACTAAGCATAAATAATCTTTCTTACTCATCAAACAATATATGTTTCTAACGATGAATTACCATAAATTATACTTAAACTAATTCTATACAGATATTAAAGATCCCTTTATTTACTTCTGTTCCTTTTCTAAAAGTTACGTAACCCACGAGACGAATAATTTCATCTATTTCTACCTAGATGATCGTGCAGTACTTTTATTCAAATCTGGTTAGATTAAAATGATTCAAAGAACAAACAAAACCAAACAAATAGAAAACTAAGGCAAATGAGAATTAAAGTATGAACTATGCAAGATGAATGTATTATTAGTTTTAAAATAAATAATCGTATCATATATATAATAATTGAGTTTATTTGTTTGCTCTGTATTTTCCTTTGTCAGTTTAATGATATAAAGCTATCCATCATCATAAATCTCCAACTTTTCAGCTATTTACTCAGCAAATGTTGACTACCTAACTTGTGTAATCTTGGGTTTTACTTCCAGGGAAAATTAAATGACATTATGTTGTTCACGAAATTGCTTGTACCAATGCAAGACTTCATATATTTGTATAGCCAAAATTACTAGACTACTCTTATTTATGTAAGTGTAACTGGGTCTAAACCTGAGACCCAGTGGTTAAGAATAATTAGCCTTCTGATTTCATAGGTTGAGTTAATTTTCAAGTTATAGATAAGCTTAACAGCTTTGTTAGATGGTTCTATTGATATCGTGTACTCTGTGCTAAATGGTTTGATTCCAAAGCATTTATCGGCATTCTGGAAAGCATTATCAATGCCTATTTCATGTAAATGTCATGAAATGATTGATTGTAACACAACGTAAGCATCGCAAAGTTTTCTCAGGAATCAATTGAGATTAAGATTGTGTAAACACTATTATTGTAATGAGAAATTTACTACACGATACATAAAATAGCTACATGATGATACGTATTATGATTTGTGCAGGGGTCAAACTAGCTTTTATAAAAAGATAAGAATTTCAAACAGAAATGGTGAAGTGATCCACAATAAGTGTACATTAAACCTTGATAACTGCTTTCTTTTACATTGGTTATCTAGATGATAGCACTTAATAGTCAAATTCCTAAGAATCCTCGACTTATGTTGTGCTAAGACGTATCATTCATTTCGTGTTATAAAAATGTTTCTCCAAGAGTTCCAGATTTACAGACCAACAACTTAAGACATGAAGCAATCAGGCAGTAATTAATAGTTATTCAAGCTGTAATAAACTCCCCAACAACTGTCGAAGGGAATCTCAAAGAGGTAGATTTAATAGTGTTAACACTAATATCAGTTTGAAAGTAAATCAAGGTCATATGACAAAATGTAACCGATTATTGAGAAACATTAGATAAAATTATGTCGAAGAATTAACTGTAGACGATAGATCAATCCATTTGCTTTGCCAAGACCAGTTTTTATTCATCTCACCAAAGGTCTATCTTGGGCTACGAATGTCTCATGAATTAAAATGTATTGACCTCTTGAAACGGTTTTAACCAACTGTCAGAAATATCATAAGCAGTCGACGTGTTCTGACGTGACATCCTGAATATCTTTTGCAACCCGATTACATGCAACTCACTGAATCAGGAAGGGAGGAGGGATAAGCAAACTTAGAACATTTGGAAGTCACTGTATTGCCAAACGATCAGTTATAATCACACATAACATCAGCATTGTCTTTTAGGCGATTGCAACACCAAGTTCAGCTGTAAATTGATAGGTGCTACGTACAAATTTTCGTCAACAAGTGTAAACTAACACGGGAAGTAGCTTCCCCTTACTCTTTGATTGGACTAAACACTTTTTTACCAACTGTATTTTCTGTATAATTCACTGCTTATCATTCTCAAAGCACGAATACTGTCAAATAGCAAATAATCACACAGATAATTACTTAGGAATACTCATAAAAGGGATATAACATGCAAACAGATAAGCACAACATATTCATTCCGTTTTATCCGTACTGTGGAGGTATACAGTGCTGTTTGACAAATTTGGTGTAAAATCATGAGCTAAAGGTCTGACGCTTAAAAATCTAAGGTCAATAAACACTTCTATTTTGTTTAAGATGAAAAGTGATTTTGGCATATAACTTAGAAATGTTTGGATGATGAAACGACAGTATTTTATGGATATGGTGAATTCAAAAGTTGAAGTAGATTTATGGTTCTGATGGACGCTTTTGTTGTCATCTTGGGACGCAATCAATTAAAAACATAGTAGGATGAACAGAGTGACATTTACTGAATGATGCTAAAAATCACACTCCTAAGTCAAAGATATATAGATGATTTGAATAAGAACCTAAATGCAGAACCATCACTAATAATTATAAGCTCTTGAGTTTCAATAATATAATCTACATTTACAACGTAAATTAACTTGTCATATCTAGTGACCGTCATATTACATTTTTATGAATATAAATAGCGAAATTCAATTCAATTCGACATTGTACATCAATGATAAATGAACCTTCTCTACACAATTGTTCATCACATTACCATCATTCAATTTAAACTAGATACACATTTTGCTGTATATATATATATATATATATATATGCTTTCCGTTAATCAGGATACAATCTTTTATTCTACTTCAAACAATATCGGTAAGGTAAGTATTTACAGATGTGGATAACCAAACAAATATTATCTAATTAATTCATTTAAGGACAAGAAACTGTTTACTAATCAATTGAAAGTAATTTGATTGTTTTAATGAATGTCAAATGTTTTAAGGTATGTTGTCAATGAACTCAATGTGATCTGAATTAATGAACTCTAGTCAATGAATGAATATAGAAATTGTATGATTATGTTACAAGAATTATTAAAATTAAAATTTACAAGCAACTATTTTACAGTATGAATTGTAACTGGATAAAATTATATTTCATAATCCTCTAAAGATTTTTTGTATTGGTCAACTTTTGTAAATTTATAAACCATGGTTATGTATTGCCAATTAAATAATGTAGAAAGGATAGAAAATTAAAATATGCCTAACACTCTTAAGTAGGATTGTAGTGTGGTCTATTTATATCCACGTAAGTAGTATATGGTGATGGTCAGACATAGAATGTATTTTGGCAGAAGACCAATAAGGAAAGAACTGAAATAAAGCGCGATTGGTAGGAAAATGCATGAATAATTGAATTAGAGAAGATGAACTAATATTTACAGAAGAAACAGTGAAGATTAAGACAATTAATTGTTATTTTGCAAATTAACTGTTTACTGTATGATTCTCAGAATTTAGTGAGGTAGTCTGTAATTTGTGTCTAGATACATTCGATTGTCCTCAACCAGTGTTCTGTTCACTACACGCTTATTAATTCTTAATTCATAATTGGAATTACATTGTTATCTTAAACTATAAAAAAGGTGCCAATATCAAATATTTAATTGGTCAAGTATTCTAAATTCACAACTTCCTACCGATGTTTAATAAAATCCTCACTGAACATTGTATCCCGGTTACGTTATTTTTTATGTTATAATTACGTAACATCAATCTATCATGTAATCCAGTTGAAGGAAGTTGATATACTCGCGAGATTCTTATATTCAAAAGAAATAACTTTGAAAAATATAAATAGACAAATAAATCTTTTGTTGAATTAAACATATGTTTATATTAGTGAGCCACGTTTAAAATGCTACCACAGATGTTATGAATAGAAGTGTAATCAGCTATTGGATACAGTTCCATAGTATTGTTGTTGTTTGGCCTAGAGACAGTTGATTCGGTATCTCCTAAACACAAAATCATGGTAGGCACATGAAATTTCTGTATTATAAAAGTGTCTGATGAATGCTTTAGTTTATTTATATTTTAATTATTAAATTTCTGTATCCAATTAGTTTAACATTTTTCGTTAACAAGCAACTTCTACAAATAGCATATAACACTCTCTAGGATAGTTGTCATAACTCTAATACTTTTGTAAGATGTAGAGTTTTTACTCAAGTGACGAATAATTTATTTCGGACAGAAAACTTTTTATATTTGCTTCGTCTTCTCGTTATGTTGGTTATTATGTAGACAGTTATTTGTTATTATCATTCAAGCTTCCAACTACTGAAAATAAATTTGTTTACAGTTAATATATGATTAGCGAAATTTTATTTTTTTTCCTTTATGTTAGATGGCTTTAGGATCAATGTGATTGACTTACGAAAGTAACAAGTATACCGCTAATAAATTATTTTAACGTTATTGAATTCTGATTCTTCGATATTTCCCCCCCTTTACCTGATCATTTGAATTGTTAGTAATTTGTTTTAAAACAACGAAAACGATCAAATAAAGATTTATATTCTTTAAAATATACCATAGTACCATCTTTAAGATGCAGACTAACAAAAATTTTAATCAAAGGTTGAAATTTATTTCATTTAATCCTAATGAGTATATATTTAAAACATATTCAATATTCATATTTAATAGCTTCATATTTCCAATATCCCTCTTCTTCTAAATAACAAATCCATAAGTATTATAAACTAGTTTTATAAACCATAAACGATTTCTTCTCAAATTTAAAGTCTAGAAAATATTGTGAATCATGTGTAACACAACTAAAAAAATGAAAGTAAATACAAAGAAATAGTATTAGAGAAACAAATCATTAATAATAACATTAACATATTTCATTTCAACTGATACGCGAAGTTGAGCAACCATTCACCAATTGTCTTCACTGAGTTCCTATCTCACAACAGACGTGGTTTTGAAGACAATTGGTGAATGGTTGCTCAACTTCGTGGATCAGTTGAAGTTAGACATGAACACCGTTGGATGCCAGCTCAGTGGTCTATCGGTTAAGGGCTTCGGCTCGAGACTGGTAGGTCCTGGGTTCGAATCTCGCGAGAGCGTGTTCGTGGATGCGCACTGCTGGGGAGTCCCATAATAAGACGAAACGGCCGTCCAGTGCTTCCAAGTTTTCGATGGTGGTCTAGCTTCAATTGACTCACGCTTTCAACTATGATAAATACTAAATCTCCACAAAACCCCTTCTTTAATTAATATTTCGTTTTATTCAAAAGTGAATTCATTGCAATTACGTCAAAAAAGTAAATTTATTGTACATTATAATTTGCTAATAATGACTTCAATATCTTGTTGAACCTAATAAATGTTAATAGGATTGTTCAATCTACTTAATTTATTTTTCAGTAAAACTATATGTGTCAGAAGGGGTCTTATAGAGATTTCAATATTTTCAGAGTTGAAATCATGAGTCAGTGGAAGCTAGACTACCATGGAAAACCTGGAAGCACTGAACGGCTTTTTCGTCCTATCGTCGGACTTCTCAGCAGTGCGCACCCACAATCCCGCCTCGTGAGATATCAAGTCAATGAAGACAATTGGTGAACGTTGTGGATTGATTGAAGTTAGGCAGTAACACCATCGGATGCCTGCTCAGTGGTCTAGTGGTTAAGCGATCTGACGCGAGACTGGTAGGTCCTGGGTTCGAATCTCGCAAAGCAGGATATAAGTGTGTTATAGTCAACTATAAGGTTGTTTTTTAGTCTTATCTTACCAATGCATCTTGTTTCAACAATTTTAAGTCACCTATAACATTAAGTCATATTGTGGTGAACAAGAACACAAGTAGGGACAACTGATTGTACTTATGCACAATTTACAGACTATCTCACTAAATTCTGATAACCATACAGTCAACAGTTAATTTGCAAAATAACAATTAATTGTCTCAGTCATAACTGTTCCTTCTGCAAATATCAGTCCCTCTTCTCTGATTCATACATTTTTGTACCGATTGCGCTTCATTCCTTTTCTTTCCTTATTGATCTTCTGCCAAAATACATTCTATGCCTGACCATCACCATATACTACTTATATGGATATAAGTAGACCACACCACAATGTCAAATCGTAGAAACCTTCAATAATAATTAAAACATCATTGAAATACAAAATAAAGTTAAAGCTACTGTTCTTCTTTCAAGCCAGTTAACAGCACTAATCAAGCAATAAATCAGTGTCATCCGAATAATGAATTTCATTGCCGTTTTACTGAAATCTAATCATGGAGTGAATGAGGATTTATAATGTAATACAGTAAACATATAGGGATAATACACTTCTTTAGAATGAGACAATGATCTATATGTTCAGTAAAAGGAAAGCAGTAATATAACCGCTGTCATATGTTATGTCTTGATACATTTTATAATAGTTCTGTACTAATTAAATTTTGGAGTATAAAGAAAATGTTGAGATCATTTTCACATATTGCTACTAAAAACTTTTCTAAAAGTATTTTCAAGAAAATTTGTCAAAGAAAATTATTTTATTAATGAGATAGCTTGGAGAAAACATGTGAGATGGTGACAACAATATTTAATGAATGTAACATTACTGACATAGTAATAGGTAAATCTTTTTAAACAGTTCATTATGTAGCTACTATTTACACTTGTTTCTTTGTTCGGCTCTTATGGAAATCATGAGTGATATCGTTTAAAAATTATCAGTGCCTTTTTATTTTTAATCATAAACTAATACATTCCTCCTCCTATAAAAAATTAAAATGACTTCTATTAGTTTATATTTACATATACTTTCTTCAGTCCAATATTATTTATTGTATTCTCTAAGTAATCAATAACAGATCAAGAACGTTCAAATTATGTAGCTACAAATTTGGATAATGAATAAGTATTATCAAACATAATGTAGCTGGTATATCATATTGTTTTAGAATCATTAGAATCAAGACTGAAGTTATAAATTAAGACAGCTGGATTTTAATTCAGTAGACAAACGTTATCATGGTTACTGCAAGACCTAGAAACATAGATTCGACTGTATGGATAAATTGTTCAGGAGTGTGATCTAAGATTTAGAAAAAAAGATCCATTCAGAATGCTGGTTTTAGACTAAAAGCTGAAAGCAAAATAGCTTGTCAATATTTTGAAAAATGTGCGTAAAAAATTTTTAATTGGTATTCGATTCAATTTAGTGTGATAGAATATATTTATTGATTTTCTGTGTTATTTTATTTGACAAAGTATCCAAACCAGTGATCCAGTCTTTCTTCAAGTGTGAAACAATCAACAGCATGTAAACTTTTATGTAAATTGACTAAACATACCAAGATATTTATTTTATATTCAGTTAAAAATAGTTATCAATGCCAAGGTTGAACGTGATAGTTTTTAATAAATTTGGCATTGGATGGAAAGTCAATAGCGAATATGTTTTTCGTTATATATCAATGAGTAGGAAAATTGTATTTCTGACGTTTCATGTCATAATGTAAGCCACTTCTTCAGAGTAAATAAATAACCCGAATAAACTAACTCAACTTTAAATAGTACTAAGGAAACGATTCAAATTCTTTATTAATCAATACTTCTATATCCAGTTTCTGTATGAAAAGTATTACGTTTCTAAGGTTTATTCAGAAACCTTTATCATTTCTTATTCCAAGTGCTCGACGGCATAGTGTTAGTTAGTAATTTATACGGATGTTCATCAATATTAGAACGAATAGTTTGAAAAACATTGGGCTCCGAGTATATAGACGTCATTATTGAAATTTCAATCGCTGGGATTAATTCAAATATAATTTCCACATGTAATTACATAGAGATGTTTTAAGAAACGATGACATACTATTACTGTAATCTTAATTGGTTAACATGTTGTAAAGAAGTACATTAAAAACGTATTTGAAATATAAGTAATAAACTTCGGATATGATTCAGTAATTTGATGAAATAGATTAATTATAGCACATCACAACGTTCAGTGTATATATAATATCACACTGCATAATCGTATTCCAATTAAACGTCCGTTAATGATCTTGTGAAAAATAGGGTTCATTCAACTTTTTAAGTTTCCTTTTAAGTAATGTTATGCTAATATATACTGTAATGCCATACCAGAAATAGTTTACTAACCCATACAGTTTTACTATACCATACTATAAACACTACACTGAATAAATTATAACTTTATGTTAAATAATAATTATTACCTATTATATTCATCACCTATAATACAATGCCATGCTGGTCCATATTTTATATCCAATGTTCTTTTAATATATGCTGTACTATCTAAATTTCGTTGATTTAAATTCCAAAATTTTAAACATATAGAAATGATTTCATTTTGCATTAATTGATTCATATCAGTATGACAAACATGAGCTTTTACTTCAGATGATTTCAATACATTTGAATTTGTTTCCATGGTAATTTACAAGAAGAAGAAGAAGAAGCTAATTTACTTTCAATTGTAAAGTAAAACAAATAAAGAAATTTATATGAAAATGTTAATTTACTGTAGTTCATTTATAATCTAATATGTAATTCAAACAAAAGGTTTACTTTTCAATTAATTATTCATTATAATATTGAACTTTATTATGATTTTGTTTAGATTAGTAATTAATTATATAATTTAATAAGTAAGCAATCATTAGTATGGTTATTATGATGATGTAATAAATCATCATCTCTTGATTACATCATAATTAACTGAAATTAATACATTAATTGATAAGATAAAAGAATAGTTAAGGTTATGGTAAAGATAATATCAGTATGATTATTATATATTTTTTCGCCTTTTTTAGCATGAATTTAAATGAAATTATCCATGTCACTGACTAACAATCAATCCAACAGTGACGATTGTAAAGATGGCTTGTTGGCAAACTCAAGGATGCTTCAAGAAGCCCAAAAAGAGCCGAAGACATTCCATCCGATCAATGCTAGAGGGACATTTTAAAATGTCGACGTGTAGCTCTAGATATAACAATGATGTAGAAAAGAAATTTATAACAAGAAAATAAGAAAAAATCATTTCATTTAAATTTAATTAGATTCTGTGATAAGAAAGTTTTGTGTATTTCATATTATTTTTATTATTGGCATAAGTAATGAGTTCGAGCCTGTTTGTTTTAATTTTCGAACATCCAATATTGAATACTATTCTGTTGTGACAAAATATTTCCATTAAGTTCATCGGTTGTTTGTTTGTTTTAAAAATGTAAAAATATGTATTTAAACTGTGAGTTATTGTGTTAATTCTTTTTAAGTCTCAAAATGTTAATTGTAGGACACGAAAAAACCCAAAAAAGTTCTTCTGAAATCTCATACACTGTACTATGAAAGATTTTTACTAGAATGTGAGTTTGTAGAGAATATAATAAATTTAATAGTTGAATTCAGCATTCAATCTAAGCTAGACTACAATTAAAAACCTGTAAGGACTGTACAGCCGTTTCTCTCTAGTACGGGACTACTCAGCAGTGATCTAGAGGTTAGGTATCTGCGCGAGAACTCAAAGATTCTGGGTTCGAGTACCGCATGTGAGATTGTAAACTTGCACAGCTGAGGAGTCCTATACTAGGACTAAAAGGCTACTCAGTGCTTCCAAGTTTACATAACTTGTGATGAATCTGTGTTTGCTAGTGAATTTCTGATGGCCCAATTTAGATCGACTGATTAATTCAACTGTTGAAGGTTTGTCATAAAATCTTCGGATATCATATATGTTTATTCAACTTTTTATTGCTATTCTCATTTGGATTTTTTGTTTTACTAAAATCGAGTCAACTTTTTTTAACATCTGACTTGTTGCATTGAACTGTTGGACACTGACTTTGGGATTTGCAAATTTCTGTTTACTATTTGTTAATTCAATCTGTTCCTCTTTATTATTTCGTTTACTCTTGAGATAAGATTACGCTAATTTTGAGTACAATATAGATGACTATTGGTGAACTAAGTGGTGATTTTTTTTCACGTTTTACTGTGAATGTGATTTTCTAGAAACATTTGACATCTTGCAAACCACTGGCAATTTTTGTTCCATCAAATCGAAACCAACTAACTTTTCACATCTTTCCGACTGAACTAGATACTCGCATTTTAAAATTCGCTCGCAAAAGCACCAGAAGTCTGTCCAAAGCGCACATAGTAACTGACTGAACAGTTCAAAGAATTGAAATAACGAAAATACGAAAATTTATATATATATATAATCTACGATGTAAATAAAGGATAAGAGGAAGTTTTAGGAACGTTTTATCCTGAAAATTCTATCACAGTTTAAACAAAAATTTAGAATATAAAGATAATTATTACGTTTTCAAGTAATCTCTTTTATTTTTACCCGCTCCACTGTAACTTTACTTTACAACCGTGCAAATAAGCAGTCAGGGTCGTTATACAAATTATTTGATTTAAACTGTTAACAGAAAAAGGTGTATAGGCTTGAAAAAGTAGAAAATTATTGGAAATAGAATAATCTTAAACTCTACATCATAAAAGTACTTCATTATCTTGACGCGTAACGAAAACTTCTGCTTGCTTTCAGTACATGCAAAATCTGATACTATTCATTGCTTTCTATGTCAAGAAAACAGAAAATGACTGGGACATTTGATGGTCTTTAAGTTTATTTTTTTAAGTCGATTAAGTTTAAAGAAGTTTAGTGATGAATTATACGAACAACATGAATCATACGGTTGTGTTAACCAACTAACCTACGACAATTAACTTTAAAGTAAAAACTAAACTGTGTGTTTAATAAATCACTAGATACTAGACAGTGTTTTTCATCTGGTACTTGATTAAAATAGAATCTCAATTAACAAATCGGTAACTTCAATACACTTTAACCAGCTATCAAAGACGAAAATTTGTTAAGGTTCTTTATAGGATTGTTGTTATCAAATATTTGTGTATATGCATGTGCATATATAATGACTGACAAGAGATGATTCTAACTCAAATGTATCGGCTGAAGTAAGTTAACAATAGATTTACTGTTTTTGGTAAAAATTATATATAAATCACAAACTGTTTCACCATAAATATTTCAGTTGTTGGCTGTAAATTAAATGCTTTCAGATGATACTACTGATTAGTAGAATAGTATTGTATTAAAAAGTTTTCTTTTCAAAAGCAAATGACTTCGTAGATAAATCATGTTTGGTTGGCAAAGAAATGCTCTACATGTATTACGTACAGTTATGTCATGACTACTGCATATGTAAATCATTATATGTGGCACTCTAATATGCATGATTTCTTAAACCAACTAAGTATATGAAGTGTACATAAAAATACGAAGGGATTTTGTGTTTAAAAATAAACAAAGTTAAAAAAAGTCAAACAAATAAGAAACGATGATTTAAAACAAAATGGAAACAAAAAAGACAAAATGTAAAACATAATACATTTTCAAGAGGTCAATCGCTTCAGTTAAGACCAAAGGTCTTGGTTTCGTTGCCTTGCTAGATCATGGATATACAGTGCTGAGGAATCACTTCCTGAGACGAAACACCTACCCGGTTCTTCCTGTTTTCTCTTGGAGAGAAAAAACTTGAAATGTCGCTGTAATCACCTAAAAGAAATAACGAAAAATCAGCATCGCGTAAATCTATGTATTATGTAATTTAGATTAGAACTATGATATAATTATAAGACTAAACTCACATTTACTTTAGACTTTGGATACTTTTGGTCATTTATGAAGCTATTCACTCGCATTATATTTTATAAACCCTGATATTTTGTTGATACAATGCAACTAAAAATGGTGATAATATGTGACTGTAGTTTGGATACACAATATCCAGTCTACAAAGGTTACCTTACCATTATAAAACTATATATCTTGCAAAATTCGTTAAGGCCTTGAAATCAGTAATTGGGTGAATAAATAGTTTTTGTAGATATCTATAAGCCTCTAAAAGTGAGTATTAATAAGCAAATGCATGTGCTAGACTACTCATTTATTTCTCTTTTCGCTTCAAATGGTAATTACTTAAACACTAACTCCGCCTGTAGCTCTTTGACGGTTACTGCTTGTCCCAAGCCCGAACAAAGGAGGAGGGTTGCTCATGGGGTCAGCAAACTTATCCCGTAGAAAACAACCTTGCTAAAAAACGCTTATCGGAATAGACAAATCAATTAATCTAGACTCTGTCATCCGAGCTACATGACATAACGAAGAAACTGACAGAGAAATATAGTAGACTGGATAAACCGGTCAAGGACAGAGAAGGCAAGACAATAACCGAGATTCAAGTACAGAGGAACAGATAGATAGAAAAATTTGAGGAACTCTTGAATAGACCATCTCCGTTGGATCCACCAGACATACAAGCAGCACACACAGACATTCCTACAGATGCCACTCCACAAACGATCAAAAAACCAGGATAGCCATCAGACAAATCAAGAGTGGGGAATTAGTAGGACCTAATAATATACCAGTCGAAGCATTGAAGGTGGACACACAAACACGCTCCACGTTCTATTGAGGAAGATTAGGGAGGAGGAAGAAGTGCCACTGACAGAATGGAAAAAAGGATACCTAATGAAGTTGTGCAAAATAGAAAGGAAATCTGAGCAAGTGTGAGAACTTCAGAAGAATCACAATATTATCGGAACCAAGAGGAGTTTCAACAGAATGTTGCTGCACAGGATGAAACATTCAGTAAACGCCCAACTTCGAGATCAACAGACCGGATTCCGTCTGGATCGATCGTGCACAGACTAAATCGTGACACTACGGAACTCTCCACGATACATCAACCACCTTGATTCTGAGAAAACCTTCAACAATGTGTATAGGGGAACATCATGGAACCTACTCCGACACAATGGTGTATCTGAGAAAATAGTCAAAATCATCCGTATTTCATATTCATTACTGAATATCTTCCTAGAAATTATCATTATTCAACTGACCATAATTATGTAGCTTGTGTTGAATCTGTGTTTGTTAGTGAATTTCTGAAATTAGTTACATCAATGAATGTCTAGCGTCACTATGTTTCAAATACTAAAAATCCATTTGGCGTAAATCAAGAGAACACATATTGCTTTCAGTTCTATCACATGGCTAATGTTGTGTCTGTGTTGTGTGTCGAAAGATATCACGTGTTTAATTCGCCATTCAGAACTGCCGATTATGATTTCTCTAACCCTCATATGCTATCCCGACTACAGTCTACCATCCTAAGACCTAAGCAATGATGCGCTCTGGCCACCACAAATAACCTTGAGTTAGCGTAAACTGCACACTTATTGGTTGTCTGTCCGCGACCCCTTCTCAATCCCCAGTTTTGAGCCCAATAAGTTTTTAGCCAGTCTTCTATTAGCAATACATTTCAACCGCTCAGCCAGCCAGCATCTTTCTCGAACACTCACCTTATATACAAGACCTATCAGACTACAAACCACACTGATTAGGAAATTGTACTTTGAACACAATCATTCGATAAGTGGTAGAGGAAAAGGCAAACAGTACATAATTAATTAGAAATAATCAAGTGGTAAAACGCATAACAACAGTTGATAAATCCACTGAAAGCTTACAATAAGAGCGATGTAAAAGTATAATAATACAGTTATCTAATAATTCATAATAAGATCATAATATTGAGATCATAATAATAACCCTGAAAATATTTCCGAAGTTCCTTGCTTCTTCAATGCTCCTTCCTTTATAACAGCTACTATAAACAAAGTATGTTAAAACAAAGCTGCGAATTAGATGTCTGACCATCAGCAAACGACATAGCAATCATCTTCATTTGTGGTTTGAAAATGGTCAGAATTAGTCAATAAACAGCCCATTCCTAATAGGTTTAGTCCATTGTAGCTATGTTAAGGAATTGAAAACAGTATTGTTCGCCTAAATATGTCACTGCACTGCAATTTTGAAAACTTTTCTGACTCACAGACTAAACGATTTAGGTCATAAATCTGACTTCACTGCACATTTGTTTCTCTTGCTTAATTCTTATGAAACTGAAAATTATCAAACATTGTTTTGCAACGCACGCCAGTACTTTGCAATGACACCTAGGCAATATTACCGACTTTTGTTGCAGTCATCATCAGTAGCAGCGTTTACATAACATCTCTTCATATATGACGTGCAGTCATCGAAACATCCAGTAGGTTTTAGCATTTTCGAAACCAAACTAATTTCGATTGTATCAAAACGAGTTACAATGACAATCAAGAAATATCTAACTTATAAGTCCAGTTTCTAATACAAATTCAGCTTATTTTTTCAGTGTTTATATCAGTGATGTTCTACATTAAACGTAATTTAATTAAAAAGCTCTTATTATTATTATTCTTTTATCAAATATCCATGACTGCCTAGTAAATCTTCCCTATTTTCAATAGTTAATAGCCATCGTTCAATAGACTTTGTCTTTCAAATTTATTTACACATTGAGAAGAGTTATATTGTCATCATATCTTTATATATCTAAATCGATTGACCTATGGAAGACATTTTATATCACTCAATGAATTCGTACCTATTTATTTTATAATCAGTAAATAACTCTTTCTTATGTTAACCTATCAAGATTAGTGTAGTTATTTTCTTCTCAATACTTCTTAACAAACAAGGCGATCACTTCTTGAATAACTCTTTAGATCAAAAAAGAAGTGTCAAGCCATAGTTTTCTTCTCTTAAATATTCTTTATCATTCGGTACGTCTATTTTTATTCGTCCCATCTGGAAAAGAACATGTCATTTCTCAAGAGATCGAAACCGTGTGCTGATGATGTCGTTCAGAAGGACGATGAAAGCTCCACGACCAAACCATCCAGCTTAGAGAATAAAACTCCTTCAAAAACCGTGTATACCCTAAGCATATAAATATAATAATTAACATTGGGAGCATGTTTTAATAGTTTAAATAAATCGCGAAAAAGAAAACACTCAACATATTCAATAATAATGGTATATTCTGTTTAAATCAATCCGTTTCCCTTTCTTTTTACTAACATTATATAAACCAGTAAATGAAGACATACATGAAGAAAAGCAAGATACATTAAATAGATACATAAAATTTGTAATGTTATATAATAATTGTCTTCATAGGTTCTTTTGTAAAAAATCATCCTTTCATCCTGATTTAAAAAGAAGGAATGCTCGATCATCCAAATAGAAATATATAAAATTATGGGTTTCATGTGTTACGTAACTTGATTATGTAAATATGAGTAAAGGAAAGGAAAAGAAAAAATAGAAAAAAAACATTCAATTATTCATATAAAAATTATTTTTAAAAATTTAACGAAATATTTCATCATATAAAGATTCGTATTGCCGATTTGATTTGAAGCTGGTAAATATCTTATCCATTCATTATATACCAAGAATTCTTATGGTTGTAAATCTTTTTAATTCAATCATAGATATAAACAGGTTAAACCTAAAACTATTATGTATAGGTTAGTTTGATTGGTGGTATTTGAATATTGCATTTTGAGAATTCATATCATAGAAATTACAAGTATGATGAGTAAAAATTAAGGATAGTTATCAATGGAATCCAGGACGTACGTTTCATCCTATTTTGAGCTCGTCAACTGGATCTTCCCTGCATCCAAGAGTTGAATTTTAATCTATATGACTCGAACCCAATTCCTTTCGCTTCAAACGCCATCATGTTATCTACTTAGCTACTGAGTCTTGATAGCTACTTAATTGTTCAAACAAATAATACACAAATGAAATTACAATTTAAAGTTCATTATTATCAATGAAGATTACAATTTGAATAGTAGAAATTTAATATATTATACATATAGAAGATGTCTACAAGAATGTCTTAAAATTTCTTAATCTATAATTGTTTTAACTTGATATTATGAATCATATAATATATTATTAATCATAATACCTTTATTAATATGATTTATTCAAGTTTCATTTATGAATATATAACCTACCTTCCAAAATGTCGTCCAACTATACAATGCCATGTAGGATGATATTTTCGATCAAAATCTTTTTTTATATTAGCAGCTATATCTTTTTCTAAATCATGTTTATCAATAGCACCAGCAGCTATATGTATTGCATCCTCTTGCATTTCTTCACTCATATCAGCATTTTTAATAACTGCTTTACGTTCAGTCATTTTGTAATAATAATAATTTAATTAATAACAACTAATATGCAATTTATAACAAATTGTACAATTTTATAGTTTTTGTATTAAATTAGGTAATTCATAATTTTGTAATTCACTTTAGTAGCATAGCTTCAAATGGATAAGCTATTATTTAATGGAGAATGTATATATATACATGTATATATACATGTATATATATAATTATGTACACATCATTCAAATGTGATTAGCTTAGAGTTAAATAATTTACTTAATTTGGTAATAAGATTGATTAATTAGTTAAATGAATCAAAAAGAAAACTACGTCTATGTATTCATTACATTAGACAATGCCAATGAAGTAATTTGTTGAATTACAAACTTGTTCATGTGTCAACATGTGGAAAAGTCTGTTTAAATGATGATGGTGACAATATTAAAGTGAATAGTTTTAAGATGGATACGTTGTAAAATATTGACTAAATGAAAGCAATGAATAATTGAAAACATTAATTATTTCTTACACTAAACATTTAGTTTCTCTTCTAAGACGAATTAAGTGGTGAAACTTAGTGGAATTTAAATAACATTACTGAATTTAGTTAATAATCTTAGAAGAACAAGAAAAGTTTTATTGTTGTCAAATGCATATGTTGGTAAGAATGATCTACAGTAGAGGGCATATTATTAACACTTCAGTCAATGTGCATTATATTTAAAATAATGTATACCTATTTCTTATAATCGAGCGGTAATTTTTATTACTACTGAGCGATTTGAAATACAAGAGCAACCTCAAAAAAGAATTATCACTAGACCTTCTTAAATAACAGTTATTGACGTAAATATGTCCCATACTCCATCAAGTTAAGAATGCTATAACTATATGTTACTTTGTGTTGAATTGGATTGATAAATAAAAAATAGTCTATTGGGTATCTTAAAGAAACAGATTAGATTTATTTTAGGTCCCAGCTTCTACATATCATAATATCTTTGTTAAATGAATTTGTATTTGTGGTTTTAAGTGCAACGACTCAAAAGGAATCTGCTTCTAAAGCACCGTTAAACAAGTTTCGAACTAATTTTGTCACTAATGAGAACACTACTCAGAATAAAGTTGGAGTATTCTAGGAGTGGTCGCAAAAATATTTTGCACACTGGATCATAAAGTTGTTGTTATAGAGGATAATGGTATACAACTGAGAAGTGGTTGAGAAATTTTTTCTATGAAAGAGAGATTGTAGAGATATCAGATCTTATCATTTATAGTGAAGTTAAAATTGAAAAGAAGATTTTCATATCTTATCTATCTACATCCAGCAGTGCCAATTTAAAAAACCCATTTTCAACTTCATAAATAGTCTTTATTAGGCTCCACATAGATATAGTTTGTTTATCGTTTAGTTCATGAATTGAAAATTATTAAAGTACGTTAAGATTACTTTCATATAGAAAAGGTTTGTCCGAGCTGAGACAGTTGTAGGTTTTTCCTAGATAAGCTTGATAAATCAAATTAACTAGTGTTTTTCACAGTTTCTTTAGTTTAATGTAATCAATTAGATTCAAGTCCGTCCACTCCATGTCTCCTTCAATTCTTATTGGAGGTTATGTATTCACTAATTTGGAGATAAGTGGAAGAAATACGAATACGTATAAATCTATTAGTTATATATGTGACTTATAATCCATTGCATTTTAGAAGTTTACTATTGATCCCTAAAATACTACTGAAAAAGTTAGCAGTAGTTTTAAATTATAAAAACTAGTATATTTATTTCAACTTCACATGAATAAATGTTAGACGTTAATTTGTTTTCTTTGGTATTACAATTCGCCTTGTTTTAAATTTATCAACAACATTATTAGATAACTTATTTTTCCGTAGCCACATCTGTTGCTACTAAACTATCATCTTTGCAATCTCTAACATTTAAAAAAAAATAATTTTCACTAGTTGTTATGCAGTGAACAAATAATTTCGTTATCCGTTACTGTCTCAGTTCAATTCTAAACTTTGTTTCTTTAATGTTTACCTACAATTTTTATTTATTACAAACTTATCAAATAATAAATACAGTAAAGATTATTTGTGAACTTCAAGTAAAATATACAACTTGATATTCGTATAGAATGAAAATAAAAACTATTCACATTTCAGGATAGCAACTAGAAAATTGTTTTAATGATTTTTCCAAGTAAATATTATCTTTGAGTGGCCTTATATCTGACCCTAGTTGAATCGTTTCTGACTGCTATCAAATAATTGCTGTTCAAACATACATCGTGACTATTTTCCTATATAATTATCGACTTAATTTACATTAGGGTATAACGGAATGGAGAATGGATTCTTGAATAAAAAAGTTTTGTTCACTCACTGATCTGTACAGGAAATCAGAGAGATCAGTTTCAGTTTCAATTTGGAAAGCACACGAGGCTTGATGGCCTGTGTTAGTCCTGGCAAGGATGGTCTCTCAGCTGATCCAACTTTCTTTTGAAGGAGTCGACGGATGGAGCCTCAATCACGTGCTGAGGTAATGAATTCCACTCGTTGATTATTCGATGGGAAAGTCGGTAGTCAGCTGACAAGTAATTTGTTCGGGGCTTGTGAACTTTTTTGGAGTATCCTCGTAGATTTTCTGTTTTGGAAGACAAGAAAAATGAGGGCATATCAGGTGCAAATTTGTCATTAAGCAATTTGAAAACTGTAATCAAGTCGCCTCTGGAGCGAATAGGAGAGAGCGAAGCTCAATGACGTGCAATGGAGAATGTGTGTGAGCCAACTCCATTTGATCAAGCGTTAATCAATATTTATAGACAGATAAAAATAAGTTGCAGATATGTGAGGAATAGGATGGGAAGTGTACACACATACGCTCATATAAAAACAGACAGGGTAGATAAGTGAATAATTAACAAGGTCAAAACATGACTCAAGAAGAATGGATAAATTGGCCTGTTTAGAAGCGATGATAGGTTATGTGGGCTTAATATAATAACCGACAATACAATCTAGAGATCTTGTGCTGCATAATTTACATATTATAACTTTTTAATTTGACATTTCGATAGTGTGTCATGAACTAGAAAGATAGATTCGGGTTTTAAGAAGAGTACTTCTAGCTGGTTAGCTAGTTATTGATCAGTGATAACTCGTCGGTATTCAAATCTGTAATCTACACTTCAATAAGCCTCTTTCTTTTTCAGTAAGAAGTCAAACTGTGACTTTCATTCAAAATTGTAACTGTAAAATTTAATGCTGTCTAATATAATGCTAACTTGCAAATTAAGTAAAATCTAGAAGTTTATATGGAAGACAGCTATTGTAGAGGCTTCGAATGACTGGTAGATCATTAATTCTTACTTAATCCACCTATGATAACAACACATTTAATCTTATATGGATTTGTTTTTAAAGCGTAATATCAGTATGAAATTTCACTGAATTATATAGTTTGTAATTGCTTGCATAATAACACTGCTTATATTGAATTAAATTACAAACAGTATTAGCTGACATATTTGGATTTTATGGCTCTACACAAATGTATATCAGATTTGCAGCGATGGAATATTTCTTGTCGAATAGTCATGTTGAGTGATAATTATATGATGCCCCATTGATTGCATAATAATATTGAGTAATTGGAAGAAAGAGGTTTATAATAATCAAAGTAATTATTCAGAAAATCAAAAATTTGTTATACCAGATAATGTAGGAAGAGAACCAACAAAATATTTTGATGAAAGGTATATAACATAGTAGTTACGTAAGAACCAATAGACGAATACTAAAAATTCATAAAACTGTAAAATTTGAAGAAAGTGTGATATTCTCAGTACTGTTTTGTAGAGTGTTGAGCTTTTATCGGCATCATGAACCGATCAATGTTATATCACCATTGGAAGCCTGGAAACACTGAACTGCTACTTCGTCCTAGTAGGGTGCTTCTCAGCTTCAGTGTCAGTTCGGAATTGTCCAGAAAAATATAAATAAGAAAAAAAGAAATGTAACTAAAAACGAATAGATATGATGTACATCAAGCTGACGATTACCGAAGAGGACTAAGCGCGCGTCCTAGACCTCACTACCAATCAACATTCATCACTACGTAAACTACTTGAGAATTAATGGCTCTATTGAAGTAGTTTACACACTTTTCACGCATATCAAAAGAGACTGGTCAACTATAGTCTTAAGTATCAATAGAAAGATCCAAACAACCAATATATATATATATATATATACATATATATATATGTATATATATGAATTATATATAGTTATGTTGATATTCACCTATTCAAATGTTTCTTCAATATCCAATGCTAATATTAGTTGTAGCGATAGCAACAATACTCTCTCTTTATTGTCATGCTTATGTAAAGTATGTTCAATTTTAAGAATTGCATTTTATTGAATAGTTTATATCTATTTCTTAATGATTACAATTCTATTTTCATTCGTCAAAGAAACTAAACAAGAAGCATTCTTCAAAATTGATATTCTATGACTAACTATTAGAAATGTAATGAATGATGACAAGATTATGTATAAATTTATCATAATTTATTATCAATAAAATTTCATTTCATTTTTTTTCTGAAAATTTTTGTTTAGTAACTTGGCTTCATTTTTATCGATAATTCAATAACATTGTATTGTAGTGTGTAACCAGTCATTTTCTAAACATGTTAGATCGATATTAATAGTGGGTGGTTGAACATATACACATATATATGTATATGTGTGTATATGTACCAATATCTTATTGTTGTTTTGCTATTTATTTTTAAAGGTATTTGCCAGATGTTTACCGACTTAGAAATACTTTTGACTAACTGTAAATGAGAAACACTAACATACTGTATTCTGTGTATATGTTATGTGAAATAATTCAAAATTCTTGTTTTGTTTTCCTTTTTGACACTGTAGTATTGTACAGTTAGACAAAATATAAAGTTTATATATTCTTTGTTATTTAAAAAAATTTGATTTTTAGTCTGGTTTATGCTTACAGGAGGTCAGTTGTGGTCTGGATAGCCCAGTGATAAAGTCTCTGACTGTGAAGCTGATTAACATGGGATTGAAGCTGTCAGGCAGCATCAGTTCCCTCAAAATTACAAGTACACCTTGCTGACGAGTGCCAAATAGCACGAAACCTAAGTACAGGGTTTCTTGTCAACCATTTCTAACAACCATCATATCTCAACATAGTGCACGCAATGTCAAGTCACCTAGGCTAGTGACCACATTGGAACTTGGTTGATAGGATTCGATCTGCACTAAGAAGGACCTGAAACACATGACATTGATCACCACTCACTGATCAATCAGTTTTAGAGATGAAATTAAAAAATGTTTTAGCTGGTAAGCATTTAAATGTTAATTATTCGATAGCGAAAATGAGAAAATGCAATGTCCAAATATGTGTTAGATTAGAGATACCTTGACATTTTCCAAAGTAGTAGTTAGATTATTCGTATTACAGAGACAGGTAGAAATCTACTCTGAAGTTTACGAAATAAATTTTAGCTGTTATATAAAATAGATGAATTAACGAATTAGGGATCACATCTAAACTCATTACAAAAACTAACCACTCATGGCACTTATTCCTTGAAACCCTCTGACAAATGTAAATTGACAGTGTTTCATTTAGGATTCAATATAATCTCTTTGTTAAAACCAATAAAATGAAAAAAAAACTTTAATAAATGCTAAATTTAGTGAGATAATTTATTTCAGTTGTCATGATGTATCATGCACTTATGTAATGATGTG